ACACGCACACACAAGCAAACACACACACACACACACACACAAACACACACAAGGCAATCAGAGATGGCAGACCTCACCCCCTTACCTCCCCCCCCCACACACACAAGGCACTCAGAGATGGCAGACTTCACCCCCTTACACACACACTCACGAACACACACAAGGCACTCAGAGATGGCACTTAAAAGCACGCAAAGCAAAGAGAGAGAGAGAGAGAGACAGACAGACAGACAGACGCCCTCCTAGTGGTGTGCAGGAAGACAAAACGTCGTGCAAAATGCCGCACCCTACATCTGCTTGGTGCCTCGTGCCCTACAGAGTCACGTAGTTTCCAGGCAAAACGCCAAGTTCAGTGTTCCAAACAAACCGCCGGGCGGAACCTAACCAAACATTGACACAAGTCTTTACGTGTCGGCACGCCTGCTGAATTAATACGTCAGCTCTTTACACATATACAGGTAAACGTTGATCCATTGTGCCTCTTATGTAACTCTGATGGCTGTGAACGTAACCTGGGAGGGTGGGCGTGTGTAGGGGGAGGGCTGGGTCGGTACAAATTAACTGCAAATGTGTAAAAATAACTGTTACTATGGGTATGGCCGGTGTGACACAAGATCCTGCAACACCTAATGCACATCATGTCATGTGCTGTTTACGTTCATATTCCTGTAGTAATACTAGTAGTCTCTTAGAACAGACTTACTGTATTGTTCACATTGTCATTGCTGCCATACATTGTACCATGTACAACTGTCGAGCAATAAAGTTCATTCGTTCATTCCTGGCCCTTTTTTAACGTAATACCTATTCTGGCCGGGGGTCTAGAATGAATGCTGATCAGCAGTTTGCTTTCAGGGTTAATTGTCTAATCTTGCCTGCTCAGTTCGGGAGAGCGAGTATGAAGACCTACAATTGTGTAAGATACAAAAGCACACACACCCATAAAACATTGACACACAGGCGTGGATTGAACTCCCCATACATGTACATGTAAACAATGTCAACAAAAACAACAACAAACTCTCATACCTGTAATTACACAAGTAAACAATGTAAATAACGACAGACCTGGGACGCCAATATCATACACAGATACTAGTAAAAAATGTGAACAACAACTAACTTTCCCCACCTGTACATAACCCAAGTACCACACACAGATAAACAATATAACTTTTCCCCACCTGTAGCAGCAATGTAAATAAAAAGAGACCTACTTTCCCAAATCCACACACAGATAAACAATGTAAACAAAAACAAACCTGTAGCCCCAGTACCACGCATACACAGGTAGACAATGTAACTATCCCCCACCTGTAGTCCCAGCACCACGCACAGGTACCACGGCGGTGCGTCCTCCACCCCGTACACCAGCCCGCTCTCCACTAGAGCCGCCTTCTCCTCCTGCCCTGCGCCTTTCCCTGGACCCACGCCGTGGGGGGTCTCCTGTAGCTCCACGGTCTGGTCAGGACAGAGGAACGGGGTTGTGGTAGACATGGCGGCGGTCTGAGCGTCTCACCTGAAGTCTCCTTACATGTACCTCACCTGTACCCAGCCCTGTACTCAATCTCTTCGAGGTTAGTGGCGCCAAATGCCAAAGTGTGCTGTCCTGACCCCACTCAGTGTAGGCCAAACAGGTCCGACTGCCTCTAGGCAGTGTAAGCGGTGTGCCGAAGGCCTGTAGCCAGTGTAGGCGTTGCACGGCTATAAGCTACTACACCTGGATTGGAGTGGCGGGTACTAGCTAGCAGCGTGGAGTGTCGCATATCCTCAGCCAACCGGAGAGGGCACGACCTACTTAAGACAAGTGGTGACCAAACATAGCTCACTATTGTTTCCAGACTCGTGCCGATCCAGTTCTATGCCTGAATCCGGGGTTAGGCATAGGATCAGGCATGGTTCTAGTCTCTATTGTACCCAGAACCGTGCCTATGTAGTTCTATACCTAAATGGGTTGGGGTTAGGATCAGGCACGGTTCTGGATGTAGTCTTCCGCGTATCTATGAACGTAGATTTGCCCCAGGCACGATTCTAATTCTGGATACGCGTGGACTATCCAGAACCGCACGTGAGCATGGTTCTGGATAAGGAACAGTTCTTGATACGACAGGCCCTGCTTCGGAGTGCGTTATTTCACTTATTTCTGTGATTACGTGCTGTTCTATCGGAGCTACCTTGTTCACAGTTTTAACCTACACTGTCGTGACAACGGAAGTCGGTAGGGAAAAAAATATGCTTCAGACATTGATATATTTCGTCCAGCTCACATGGAATACATGCGATTCAGGCACGATTCGCAAACACTAGTATCCCCTTATTTACAAAGGCCGCTTTACAAATACCTATGTCTACACGGCCGGTATTTACACCTATTATTCAAAGAAAGGCATTTACCGATATAACTGTAGTATTTTCACACACGGCAGAAAAGTGCTGAGAAAATAAGAGGATGAATCTAAGGACAAAAGTACAAAAAAACGGTCTCACGTTCACTGCGTCTGTAGCCATGCTGTATGGATAGGGCGTCGGCTATATAGCCTCCGTAGCAGGCTTATAGAAGTGGGAGTTGTGGTCTTATGCTTTGGCGGTAATCTGTTTTCTGATTAGCTCAATTCTAAAAACGGGGGTAATTCAACCAGGCCGTCTATGTTGTCTATATGCAATGAGAAAATAGCACATAAAAGCTCCCAAAGACCATGAAGACCTCCCAAACCCAGTTTTTGGCATGCTATGGAGGCTAGCTGTGAGGGACGGGGCGTCTGCTGCACGTTATAACTGATCCTTACTCTTACTGAACTTTTGAACAAACAAAGTCAGATAGAGCCGCGTAAGAAAATACCTGGGTTGTTGTGAAGTTGTAGGTCAAGGACTTTTATGTAACACTGTTAGTGCCGTTTGGGTATTATGTATAAGTTATATACTTTCTTAGCTGATAATTTGTTCGATTTTAGCCATAAATGGCTCTCTGACATGACCTGTAACCCCAATTCTTATTTCTTAACTCTGTATTGTATGTAAATCTTTATTTGTATGTATGTTCTGGGTATCTGATGAGCTCTCGCCGATTAGCCACAATCTGAAACACACACCTTTGAGGTCACACCACAGAATTTACGGTAATGCAAATATAATGCACCTAACCAGTAACTAAGCTGTCGTAACAAATGGCAGGGACATTCAGAATCTAATGATAAACGAAATGTTCTGCTTCAGTACCATAGAAACCCACTAGGGGTCCCACAATAATGAACTTGCCCTTACTTGGCCGACACCTACCCACATACCAAATGCCACAAAGATCGTAGAGCAACCTATCATTACAACTTGTCGAGTTGTGCTGTCCACAAACACATATACAGACGCATAAGCAAACAGACAGACCTGAAAACATAACATTCTTGTCGGAGATAAGATAAGTAGAAGACACAGTGTACATAGTAGAGGGGATTCTTTCCTCAAGCTGGTAAGACATCTGGAGCCGCATAGTTCCCGTTTAGAACTTTTATTCAGCCTGTCACACTAAAGTTCTAAACGGGAACTATATATGCGGCTCCAGACGTCTTACTGAGGGACGACTGCGTGTGCGAGATGTCGGTTAGCTTGAGGAATGAATCCACTCTACTATATCTAGTAGACACATAGCTAACAGTGTACTTACGCTTGTCGACTCGGCAGCCATCATGTACAGACTTACACCAGTTCACGTCGTATCCAAACTTCAACACGAACCTCAGGCAAACCTTACTAATAAGTCACCAGGTGAGAAAACACATTACGACATTCCATTGTTCCGTAGAGGGCGGGTCGACCTGCGTTCGATAATTCTTTACTTGAATAAAAGAATGTTTTAAAGTTCTATTCAAACGAAAGAACGTTCATATGTTAAAACGTTAATACATTAAGTAAACATCTTAATGTTTGTAGTATTCTAAGTTGCAGATTTTAGATGAGAAATAGACGATGCATGGCAGTTACCGTGTTTGCAATGAAAATACCAGGTACTAATCAAAGTAGTTTTTCGTAGACTCAGGTCTCTCCTTGTTTGAACAGCCGGCCGTATGTGTGTCAAAGGTTACTGACCGTGGTAACCGTTATTTGCTGTGGTGCGCGACGTCTAAGGGCAGGGGTTCCACTCAGTCTGCTACACCGGTCTGTAGCAAACATCTCATCTAAGGGCAGGGGTAACATTCAGTCTGCTACACCGCTCTTCAGAAATATTTCATGTAATATTTCATGTAACACTTAACGTTACCTCTACAGATAGATTCTGCGTTTGTGCCAATGAATTTTGTATAAGTCCAACGAACAGTAAGTAGTTGATATAAAATATGATATACACAATGTATTCATTTAACTGACCTTGATTATCGGTCATTGATTAGTACATAATCGTTAGTACGATAGATATCAGACTTATATGTACAGATTCATATCTATATGGAACAGTTTGCCACATACTGTTCAACCTTTATCTAAAACACGTGCCACTTAGAGCTCCTTTTGTATATGTAAGCCTTTCCGTCTAAATTTATAAACAGCTGTAATAAAAATGTCTCTTCTCTTATTTGCATATTGATTAATAGCGCTTATAAAGTTAACCTGCTTTTCCAACAATTCTCCATTGTCACTTACGAAAGGTAGTGGATGCTCTCTGAAACGTCTGACCGTTTCCAAAATCATATCTAGTTTCTTGTCAAAGAGTAATTGTTTTTTTGGCGTTGCCTGAATGTCTAAGCTTCACCAATGAAGGTGTTCTTATGGGAGTCACCCAAGGTCATTGGAACACAACTCAAGTTATTTTTGGATTTTTTGGAACAGAATCGCGTTCTATTTGGGTCACCTGAGGTCATATGCGGGTGATTATTGGATTGTTTAATGTATGGATTGGGATGAATAATGACCTGTTTTGATTCTATTTGTGACATTACGGCGTCATAAGGAATGTGGAATGGAGCCTTCTGATAGGTGAATGTCACCCGGCTATATGATAAATAGTACTATATGAAGAAAAGTTGCTGGCCGTTGCTGGTTAGTTTACGTTGCTGCTCTCCGTTTCCTGTGAACTGACGTCATCTTCGCCCGATTCTGCCTCCCCGTCTGTTTGACTCTCGTAGTAGACCGGCGCAAAGAAGTAACCCTGTGGGACAGAAACATCCGGAAATACATGTCAGTTCAACGTAAATGGTTACTTGTTTATAGTTAAAACTTTAAATCCAACACAAAAATTTCTCTCACAAAGCTTAATCGACCAGTCACTGGTCTTGCTCAGTAGACTGAGTCACTGGGTCAGTCTACTGAGGAAGACCTAAAGAGTGACTGGTCGAAAGCTCTAGGTGAGAGAACTTTTTGCGTTGGATTTTAAGTTTTAACTATAAACATGAAACTACCAACACAGATGAACTTTCATGATAGTAAAGGATTACTGTTATTGTAAAACATTGTAATTAGCATCTGAATAGTCTCTGCGTATCCAGAATTGTAGATTTTCCCCAGGCACGTTTTTGGATACGTGTGGGCTATCCAGAACCGTGCCTATTTATTCTATCTCTGTATGGGTTAGGGTTAGAATCAGGCACGGTTCTGGATAGTCTACGTGTATTCAAGAACATAGAATGCCCTAAGCACGGCTCTGGATAAAGAACGGTTCTGGATACCCGTGGACTATCCACAACAGTTCTTGATGAGATAAGGTTCTGGATATCCACAACAGTTCTTGATGAGATAAGGTTCTGGATAGATGCCTCACCTCTGCTTCCAGCGCCAGTAGGCTGCTGAGCTGGTTCACGATCTCCTGCCCTCTGGGCCGGGACTCTGGGCAGCCCGACCAGCACGCGCACATCAGGGAACCCCTGCAGTTGGTACAGCACAGTTAAATCTCCAAGCAGATCTTTTGGTGACTACAAGTCAGTATCGAATTTGTAAGACAGTATCCGATATAGGCAAACGGTATCAAATTGGCAAGGCAGTATCAAATTGGCAAGAGAGTATAAAAAAATTCGGCAAGACAGTATCAAATGCATTGGCAGGGCAGTATTCAATACAGCACCGTAGGCTGGCAAAAAAAAAATACACCGAAGAAGATGTCGAAAAGCTTAAACTTCTGCTTGGAGAGTAGGTATTTGTCAATTCTCGCCAATGGAGCTCACTGTCATCATCATGATAAAGAATGACTGAATGTTTTGTTAAAAGAAATAACATAGTTTTGGAATTAGAGAAACGTACAGTTCCTGACAGCAGTCCTCCGGGACGTCCATGACGTTCCCCTCCTCCAGCCAGCTGACGATCTCTCTGTCCGCAGACATGCCCGGGTACGGCGTGCCTCCTAAACACAACACAACAAAATCAGACAGGTAAGATTAGCAACGCCTATGTTTTCTTGTAGCCTCCTTTGCAGACTTGTTGGGCGGCGGCGTTATTTTTTTTTTCGGTGAGCGACGAGAGCTATTCCGCGGAGGGGCGATTTTGCTCCCGAGGGAGTTTTTTCGCGGAGAGACGGT